GGTTGCCTTACAAATCCACCATGACGTGGTGCATATACTAAGGACAAGGCGTACAGTTAGAGACAGTAGGTCGACTTATGCGAGCCACGTGCGGCACCGTTCTAATTTGCTTACGAGCAACGGGGTCTTAAAGTACAATGCGTTGTTGCGTGGGTGAGGGATGATGGTGGTGTTAGTGGTGATGGTGGTGGTGTTAGTGGTGGTGTAGTGTATAAGAGTGAGGGAGGAAAGTTGTACGTGAGTCGATGGTTCCCTCAAACAATACAAACCGTGTCCTACTCTTTTACTTCCTTATTGTTTTATTCTGCTAGAAGAGTGTAGAACCTCTCTTTTTCTCTATAGAAAGACGACGGGCTATTTAAATCAACGGTAAATATACAGAGAGAGTGAGAGAGAGAGAGAGAATGAGACCGGTCCATAGTGTATTATTGGGATGCTGACTCTGGTTGAGGTAGGTTCCTATGGATCTCCGTTGGATTTTAACTGACGTTAAGGGTCCCTTCTCTGTTCTTTGCGAGTCTTTTTTTTTTCTTTTTTTTGTTCAGACATTTAACGTCCCTTAAAAAAGAGTAGGTACTCGTAGGACAAGTATATAGAATCTCATGGGATAAATACGATAACACTCCTTTTTTCGACAGGAAGTTAAATACGAGTGCAGTTATATTTTTTATTTCTTTTTTACATGAAAGACAACTTTACGAGTAAATGAATTATTAATTGGATTAATTTTGGTTGTTGTTTTATTTTTTCATAGACGTCAAATTTTCTTTCCTCTTTTCTGATTTCATACTCGTAATTTATCTATCCTCATTTAAATTCCGGTTAAGAAACCCTCTGTGGGGGGATAAGTAACGTAATCTTGAGAAACGTGAAAAGAAAGAAAATGAAAAGAGAAAACAAGATCAGGGGGACTTAAAATTGCATATATTTATTTTTTCTAAATAATTGCTGTAACATTCCGACTATATTCTCACGTGTATCGTAAGAGGAATGATATTTGTAGCATGTTTACATCCAGTTAAAGAGAAAGAGAGTGAGATAGAGAGATCGATTTGTCCGATTACATTGAATCTACAGATAAAGCATCGCGTTACATCGAGATGTTAATCGCTTTATCGTTATTTTATCGATTACATCGAGATCTCCGTGACAGGTAACACAAACCGGTGATCGATTTAAATGAACGTTAGTTCGTTTGGCTTCGTTTAATTGATCGCAATTGGCCATCTCTTTCTGTTCGTATACGATCGCGATCGCATAATCCAAATTCGATCGACGAAGTAAACTCTATTACGATTTCAAGCAGAACTAGAACGACGAGAGTGAGAGAGAGAGAAAGAGAAAGAGAAAGCTATCATAAATTGCGCGCTCAAACTAATGCCGGACCGTGCGGATTGAATTGCAATTAATTGGCAGTAACCGGAGTATGATTAAATTACAGCTTATTCGTCACGGCCGAAAACAGCTGCACACCGTCGATTAATCACGCTTTAATTAACTTTATTCCGGTTACCGTGAAACGAACTCGAGATCGTCCAACTTCGAACTTGGTAGGTACGCGAATTTTGTTGTTTATTATCGTCCGTACTATTTTTTTTTCTTTTTTTTTTTTTTTTTTTATATAATTGTTCTGATTTTTTCAATTTGTCGCGAGTATCATCTTTATTATCGTTGAGTGAACAAAAATATACGGTTAATAATAATATAATCAAGTTATCACAAAGTGCATTGTATTTATGTAAGTATAATATTTAATATTATGTACGAATTATTGTCCAATATTTTAACAAAGTTAACCGCGTTGACAAAAATAAATTTGCATTGCAGATTGGAACGAAGTAACTTGATGCATTTAAGGTATACAAAACGATAAACTTTGATAATGGTATACAATTCCCGAAACACAGCTTTTTCCTTGAATAATTATTATTCGCATTACATATATATATTCGATGCAACGACGACGAAATTCACGCGGGAAATCACTCAAGAGCTCTTTTCTAATTCTCCATTGTCCTTTTTTTTTTTTTAAACCTGGAGATCGCCAAGTTAAAAAAGCGAAATCGCCGTCCCAGACTTATCGGATACGATCGATCATTATATTACCGTAATCCGTCTATTACGGACAGTCCTGGGGCTTGTACATTTTCCACGTGATTTATTAACACTGACAGACGTTCGGGGTCGGTCTATAAGCGACAAATTATTCGAGAATCAAACGTTCAAAAGTATCGAGATTTGATCCATTTTCAGGATGACATATTAACCTTCGAAGTATTGGTTAGATATATGTCACGTTGGTTAAACCACGCGTGTAACGATGGAAAGATATCTATATAAGATAAATTTAGATAAACTATATATATATATATATTATATTACACCATATAATATACACCATAATATATAATGTTCCATATTCATGAGTATAGATAACCATGTGTATATAAATTTACAAAAGATATATATCCGTTCTATATATCGAAAATAGAATTCTCGTTAATATCGATCAATCTAATGTATATAATATTGTAGATAATACTGGAGAGTTATTTGATCGGTTTATGGTACTATGTACCATAAATTCGAAAGAATAAGAACAAAAAAAGAACAGTAAAACGATCGATTAAACTTCTCTTTCCTATTATACTTTTTCATTGACTATACTAAACGACATAACACGACACAACGTCTTTAGTTAAGTCTTCTTCTAAAAATAATAATAATCGTGTTTATCGATTATATAACGTGACATCGTAATAATATAGTCTTTGTAACTTACCGACACGATCTATATGTTCTTGAGTATAATACTGATGCATAGTTGTTATATAGTATGGATGGCCTCTCGGGTTTGCGGTAGCAATTGAATCACTCGGCCGACAGTTTATGGCCGTACGATGATCATCGCGAGCAATACAGTGGTCACTTTGCTACGCTATTACTCACTTCCATCTCAAACACAAACGACGACATCGACCGTTGCCCACTTCCGTTCTGGGATTGTTCCTGCTATTATTTTCCTGACGGCAACGGCTATGGTGGTACGCCCGAAATCCGCTATTGTTTAATATGACGACGACGACGACGACTATGACGACTATGACAACGACAAGAAAGATTCGAGTAACGTACGATTCCGCGTGCGGAAACGAACGAAATTATGCGATTTAAAGGGAGGGGGGATGAACGTTCACATCACCGATAGATCGACTAGGTTCATCGTACTATGATTTTACACATTGATGTATTGAGAAAGAGAGAGAGAATGATAGAGAAAGAGAGAGAAAATTGTTATAAATGTATCTCATCGTTAAAAAAAAAAACAAATTTCACTATTAATTCATTTCAATATTTGATTTACACCCTAACAAATAGATTTGATCAAAATTTTTTACCATAGGACGATTAATACGTTTAAAAAATATCATCGAAATAAATATATCCTATGCACGAGGATGAGACCAATTTTCGAATTGTAAACAAATGTAAATAAAAGTAAAAAATCAACTCCTCATTCACATGCAAACACACAGACACACACTGACTCTCTTTCTATCTCTCTCTCTCTCTCTCACTCTCTCGTTCAAAGACACAACACACGTGACCGGTTTGTTTACAATTTTAAGCTTATTACTTATGAATGGGAATATTTCCGAACTAAAACACACGTTAATCGTTGAAATTAATGAAAAAGCCATCTATCAATCAATCATGAGAGTTCATATACACTTTCGATAGTTTTCACTTGTTTTTACCAGCCCCCTTCCATTCACCTCCCTGAAGCACCCCTTCCTCTTCTTTCTCTCTCTTCCTCTTCCTATCCACTCATGTCTCTACCCTTCTACCCCTCCTCCTCAAGAGCGTAGCTACTCGAAAACCGGTGAACTGGTCTCCGCGGCGAACTATCACTCTCTCTCTCTCTTTCTTTCTCTTTCTCTCTCCTAGTCGACGTGCGCGAGTGAGAAAGATATATAATAGAAGTATAAAAAAAAAAGATGAGATACCGGTGTTATAGGAAACACGTACTCAATAACAACAACGTGAAATTGTAGGAAAACTTTTGATCTAGAGTAAAAAGAGTGACACGATCACACGGTAACGTTTTGAAAAAAAAAAAAAACAACCTCCGTTTGCAATGATAAATTATCAATCGGTAAGAAGGTTAAGAACACAGGAGAATCGTCGCACGGAACGATAAAACGAGCTCGACAACATTGTGGTACAGCGCAGCCGACGCGAGCCGATTCTGCGCAGAGTTGAACATTCTCGTAGGCGGTTGCACGCTACTCGTGTGTGCAAAAGAGAAACAGAGAGAGACAGAGAGAGAAAAAGAGGGGTTCGATGGTGGCGCCATCGAAGGATGGACGGACAGGGGGCGACAACGAAGGGGGAGGACATCCTGGTGCCACCTGCACTTCCCTCTTCATCCTATCCCTTTCTCTCTCTCTCTTTCTCTCACTTTCTCTAGTTTGCTCTATCTCTATCTTCATCCTTCTCTCTTACTCTCTCTCTCTCTTTCTCTCTTGGTAAGCTCGGCAACGCGCCGCAGCCGCTTCCACGGCCTGTGGTATCGATTGGCCCAGTTGTCCCTCGCGTCAGAGCGCGGCGGTCGTTCTAACATCCGAACGCGACCCACCACCATCACCACCACCATCACCATCACCACCACCAACAACCCGCCACCAGCACCACCCCACCGTCTCTCCTCGCCATCTTCACCTTCGATCCCTCCTCCTCCTCCTTCTTCTTCTTCTTCTTCTTCTTCTTCTTCTTCTTCTTCTCTTATTTCTTCTCCTCGTTCACCCTATTTTCTCAGTTCTCTCTTTTCCCTTTATCAGCATTTACTTGTTAATCATACCACCCCTTCCTGTAGGCAGACTGATTTCTTTTTCCTCAAGATCCAAGTGTGTCTATTTGATTATATTACGATTTGATTTTAATCATTATATTGTTATTTGATATTTATCTTTTTTTTATATATATTTTTATAACACTAATCATTCTTATAGAATTTTAATATAATATAATTATCGTACTCTATTATCTTTTCAAGAAACTTGTTAACCGTTTGTTATTTCTTGCATTACCGTTATTTTAATTTACTTAGTATGTACTCCCTATGCAATTTTACTCTTAAACATTTTCCTTCGGGTTACTTCAGTTTCTCTTATTATTGTTAACTTCATTCGGTGTTTACATTATGGTTGTACGTCTTACTTTGGTATGTGTGAAGTATATTATCTCTTACTATTACTTATTAGATTCTATATATAGTTTTACAAATATATATAACAGTACGTTTGTGTGTGTATAAATAATCTTGAATCTTTCATAGTTTATTGTTTTCTTAAGTTTCTTCAATTTTCTCCTCGAGAGATTTGGATTGTCTCAATTATCATCATTATTATTATTATCGTTGAAAGATACAGTTTATTTTGTTATCTACGAATGCATTAATGTAGAATTTATTTTTCATCTCGTGTTTATACTTCATTTCTCGTTTAATGCTTACTTTATCTTCCTTTTTTCTTTTTTCTTCTTTATTTAATCGTTTTTGGTTTTCAGAGAAAAAGGGAATACGTCGATATCTAGGAGTACGAGGATGAGGACGACGTACGACGTTTCTTCGAAAGTGGACTCGAGGATTTTTCGCTTAGTCGCGCCCTATCAAGTCCGATGATCTTTCGATTTCGCGATAGTCCCGAGACGCTGAATGTCGGTTGTCCCATTCCACTCAATCGCTGTAAACACCGACTATATCTCTGCTACTACTACTACTATTATCTACTATCTACTACTAATACTACTACATTCTTTTTTCTCGCTTAGTCGATTCATCGATTTCAAAAAAGGAGAGAAAACAAATTTGACAAAGGTATATGTAGTACGTTTCTTATGTAACAAGAAATGTGTTTGTTCTATTTGGTCTGATCGTAATAAGACTAAAACTACTTTCTTGAAACGATCAGATACTAAATAGTAACCGATTGATTCATATTATTATACGAGATACAATTAATATTAAATCAATATAACAATTAAGACATAAACAAGCAGATAAATATAATACAATAATTTAATATACAATAGGAGAGTGTTTTTTCAATTGGTCTGATCATATTAAAAATATAACTACTTTCTAAAAGTAATCAGACACAAAGTAATAATCATTTGATTCACTTACCGTAAGATATACGATTAATATTAAATTAATATGACAATTAGGAAACAAAAAACAGATAAATATATACATATATATACATCACAATAATTTAATTACAATAAGAGAGAGACTTCAGCGAAGGTAATTCTTTTTTTTCTTTTCGAAGTTACGAAGGTGGTGGTAGTAAGAAAAGGTCGTCGTCGTCGTCGTCGTTTTAAAGTTCGGTAGAAGAAGAAGTTGAAGAATCAAAGAGACGTACTTTCTCCGCGTACGGAGAGGTGCGTCTAACAACGGTAAGAAGACTCGAGAATAACTTGGAAAAGGGAATACGACGAACGAGAAGGGGGAGATGTGCTGCTGCTGCTACTGCTTGCTTGCCACGGGTCCGTGACTAGTGCGAAACAGAAAACAAGAGGGAGTATAAACGACAAAGGAGCTCGGCATTATTATGTGCCGGGGCTTAATGCATGACAATGCCAAGCAGACTCTCTCTCTCTCTCTCTTTCTCTTTCTCTTTATCTTTCTCTTGCTATCTCTCTCTCTCTCTTTCGTTCCCGGGTCGTTCCTGCGGGCACTGGCTCAAGCACCGCCATGGGACTGTCGTTTCACAATGCTACGCTAACAAGGTCAGCAATTAATGAATCGTTGGCAATGTGTTGCCAGAAAAATACGCGAACCTGCTGGGACCGATGTATTATTAAGGAGGAGGTCTCTATACTCTTCTTTTTTTTTTGTTCATCCCTCAATTCCTCGCTCTTCTTCGCGCTCGTCGTTTTTATCTCATTCTCGTTCTTCATTATTTATAATTTMTTTTATTTTATTTTTGTTTGATAAAAAGGAAGAAACTCAACGAAGACCAGGTTTGTTTTATTACAACAAAAAGTAGTATTATTTAAAGATAAAGTTTGTATCGGTGTGTTTCTCGATTAAGTTTAACCCTTTGGCATGCATTTGTTTTGGCAAAGATTCACATGAATTATAATTAATTATTATAATATTTTAAAGTAATTTTTAAATAAATGTGTACCCAAAGGGTTAATAAATGTTTTTGTTCTCGTTTTCAATGATATATCATTAACTCTATAATTTAAATAGTTTTACAATATAAAATCTAATGTGTAATAAGGTTTCATTTCAATGTATTTTCTTTTTTTAAACTTTGAATACTTCCAAGAAGGACGATCGATGATCAGAACTAGGAAACGCGAGTTCGTTCATCCGCAAATGTCGTGTACCTTGGACGATCGATGTAACGGACGAACGAACAAACGAACGAATCACGAGGTCGTATCGAGGATCACCAAAGGGATATATTTTACCTAGGTTAAGATACGTTTTAATCGGCCCAAGTATGAGAATAAATCAAGTTCACTAGGGTCTCCAAATTTCCTTCTAGTTTTATTCGGATTAAATTCGTGGATAACGTTAGGTTACTAATACCATAAAACGAATAATATATTCACCATTTCTATTTGTATTTTAATATCAATGATATTTTTAACTATTAACAATAGAGAATGTGATAATAAAATGATAACCAATGATGGATAATACTTTTTTCTCATTTATATTGTCATCACAAAAATGAAATTACATTATTGAGATAAAGGGTGGATAAAAATTGTCGATTTTTGTCTCACGGCTGTTATCTCTTTTTCATGATATCGTATAGTATCGTATCGAATAGGGAAAGAAGAAGTTTGAAGGATGAATCCAATAACGTTCGAAAGCGGAAAACAGCAGAAGCAAAATACGCCCGCGGGACGGAAAGCGTTTTCCTAAAACAGACCAATGAGCCATTCTCGTTTCGCATACATCAGACTCGTCTCTTTGGGATCCACCAATGTGTTTGAATTCATGTCACATGTTAGTTTGTCCGTCGTTTTCTCGTGTGACCAGAACAGCACTAGTGTTACTATACTATCCAAATATATACCACGCATCGTTCTTGTCGTATACAACGATATTATTTTTATCCTCTCTTGCATCAAATTTTATAAAGAAAAATTTGTAAGTATTTCTATAAAGATATTAAAATAGTTTTAAATATAATAATGTTTCTCTATCAATATTTTAAACTGTGAATTTTAATCGTGTGCATATATTTTTATATAAACGAATTTAACGATGTAAATGTTTATTATATTCTTACAAAATCGTAAATGTATTTTCGATTGAACGTAGAAATAAATTAAAATAAAAGTAAAGTATTTCTTTTTTCGAAAATGAATGCTTAAAAATATAATATATATAATCTATATACGTTTATACTTCAGAAAGCAGACGTATATAGAAGTCTACGTTTATGAATAAATACTTCGACGCTATTAAGTAGATCGTTGAAGATAGGGAAGATAAATAGATAAAAGAAAAGAAAAAAGAAATATATAAAAGATGTCTTCGGATTTACGGTGAAGTGAATGAACCCGTCGTCGACCCTACTACAACTCTCGTGAATAAGCGTATCCTGTATTAAATTAATACCGAAGTAGATGCAACGATACAGTTTGCTCGAAAGCGTGCATTATGACTCGTACCAGTTGAAGCTTTACATGTAAAAAAAGAAAAAGATAGAAAGAGAAAGAAAGAGAGAGAGAGAGAGAGAGAGAGAGAGAGAGAGCTTTAGATGTCGCGATAAAAAAAAAGTTTTAATACGGGTACGTATTTACGTATTTACTTCTATAACATATATCTAAGCTGGTTTTGCTCGTAGAAATTCATCGTCATCGATCTACGTAACAAACATGAAAGAAAGATAAATTCAAAGGGGATAGTTACACGATAAAAAGTGATCGTTGATCTTTCAGTTCATCCTCGTTCTCGTACTTCATCGTCCTCGTTGTCGTACATCCACTTTTGGCGTCATAATATTTGCAAAGATATGCACGTCTTTAAAAAAAAAAAAAATAAAAAATGTAAAGTAAGCCAACCAGGAAAGATATCTAATAAATGTGTTAGTATCACCTACATACTTGCTAATTACAAGGAACACGAAATTACATAACTTTCACGAGACTATATATTCTAATTTGCCTTGATCGTTAAAGGTCGGTTGGTTGGTTGGTCGGTCTTTTAGTTTAATGCATATTCATTAGGTATTTTTTTAATGAGATTTCGTCCTACAGATTGAGAAGAAGAAGAAAAAGAAGAAGAGGAGGAGGAGTAAGAGGAAGAAGAGAAGAAGATGGAGATAGAAAGAAAAGTAAGCTAGTTAAATATAAATCTATAATATACATATATATATATATATATATATAAACGAAATTTTGTTTTGATGATCATTTTATAAAACTAATGAGTTAAACTAGAACGTTTTTCTATCTGTATATATATACATATGTATGTATCAGGTTATTAGATTGTAACATAATGTATTTATGTAGTATCTCCAATTAACGAAGAATGAGAGAAAAACAAGGTGATATCGAGTGAGAAAAGGAAAAAGTGAAAGATACAGAAAAGAGGATGGGGGAGAAAGGTTCGATAAACACTTCGACGGATTGAAATAAACGACAATTCGTGAAAGAGTGGTAGTTGCTTGTCAGAGAGTACGAAGTGCACTTATATATACATATATACAAATGTTAACTCATTATAAAACACGCTTATGTGAGCTGGTTTACCGTATAATTGCCTTTCTACCTGTATATGCTTCGTTATCTACAAACTCAACGTCGTTAATTATCCCTCAATTTTTCTTTTTTTTTTTTTATTATTTCTTTGACAGTTTTTGTTCATTGCTTTTTCTTTTTGGATTATGGCTAAGTCAGCCCTTTATTTTCGACAATGTCAATGTATGTTCGAGTTGTTTGTACCAAAAAATAATGAAAAAAATAGAAAGATAAAAGAAGACGAAGGAGTTAGTAGGAAGGAGAACAAGGATGATAGAAAAGAAAAGAAAAGTAATCTTATAACTTGTAGGATATCAACGTAACAGTCGAACAGAGCCAATAGAGCGAGAACACTCGGCATCTGTCCACGCTTTTGCAACGGTATATATGTATATATATATATATATAGATACGTATCACGTACTTACACACCGATGTTTCCCCATACGATGAAAAACACGGTTTATCGATCTTGCAAAAGTAATTTTCTTCGAGTTCCCGTAGTCGCCGAGTCGCGACTCCTCGTGCAGCACGGGATCGTTTTTATGAAACTTATATTCCGAATAACTTCTATGTATTATTTTGACGAATGATGGTTGCAAAACAGAAAAGAGAAAGAAAAAAAAAGAAAAATGAATGATAGATCGTGTTAAAACATATTCTTAATTTATATATCACGTATTCTAATTAAACTTTTAAGAGAAAGTATCAAAAAAAAAAAAAAAAAGAAAATACACAATTACTTCATGGGGTTTTTTATTTTGTTTTAAATTGTTGAAGAATCGTGTTGTGAGAGAATAAATGAACACATTTAAATTCGTTCTATCTACAGTGTGTATATTTGAAATCACGATTGTAAAGAGAAAGAAAGAAAGAAGTGTAAATATATATACATATACACACATACATAAGTATGTATATAGAGTATGTAAGTCGAGCCAACTAATGGATCGTAAGCAGTGTGTGCAACGGATTATATCTTCTCGGTCAAGCCGTTACAAGGTAGAGAGTCCGCCTTCGGAAGCTTGGATAGTTACTGGTAAGAACACGAGTGAGTGAGCTAAAATATAGGTATAGATTACGATGAAGTAAGTAAGAGAAAGAGAAAGTATTTGTGTGTTAGAGAGAGAGAAAGAGAGAGAGGCTTAACTCGAGACTTTATGAATGCCCGACTGCAACGAAGGAGTTCAGGTAAGATAAGGGCTTTCTGCACCCTCTTCGTACTATTTCTCCTTCGGGGTTGTTATATGCTTCTTCTTCTCTCTCTCTCTCTCTCACACACACACACATATTCTTTCTCTCTTTCTCCTTATGGTTCAACGAAAACGCTATAACATCGGCAAATCCGGGCAACGCTTTCCCGGGCACGCAGCTACTCCTCTCCTCTTCCCTTCATTTCCCTTCACTTCTCTTCACTTCACTTCTCTTCACTTGATTTCTCTTCTCTTCACTTCTCTCTCTACTTACTATTCTCCCGTCGCTTAACGGCAGATTTCGTAACTTCTGCCAATGAGGAAGCAAGCAAGCAAGCAGGCAAGCGTTAGTCTCGTTAATTTTCGAAGGATGGCCCTTCATCGTCATCAACCTCCCGTTGTTCCTGACACAGCAACGTTATCGGCTCACGTTGTCATCCATGTCCACGTCGTCGTCCTCCTCCTCTGTCTCCTCCTATTCCTCTTCGTCGTTTCTCGACACCATGGTTGGTGTACGCTCATCAATCGTAATAGTAGTCGTCGATACGAGCCAAGCCAAATCCATCGTCCTCCATATTTTGGTACGTATTAACGTTAAACGAAAATCGAATATATTTATTACTTATTTTTAGAATGATCAATTTATATTCGGAAGATATAATAATAATTTATTATGGGTCAAACGGTCTGTTAGTATTTTTATTATTTTTTTTCTTTATTTGCCCGTATTTCAATTTTCACCTATAGTATTTAAGAGAATGGACTTATTCTTCATTATTGGATAACTCAATGAACATATATCGAAAAAGTAAAAAAGTTTATTCGATGTGTTTACATTAAATTATTATATTTGTTAATAATATTCTTTTTTTTTGTTCACTTTGTTTGTGAAATAATTTTAATTCTATTCTTTATTTGTCACGAGAAATATATAATTATACGTAGTAAGGTAGAATGTAAAGAACACACAGAAAGACAGACATAGAGAGTGAGATTTAAATTTGATGGAACGGCGAGAAACTCCGTCGTCATTTCATTCCC